ACAAAAGTGACGTTGTAGCGACGTAAAAATGTCGACTCCCAGTTTCGTTGACACAACGTTATCACACAACGTTATGAAGACGTTTTTACAACGTCAATACAACGTAATGTTTTGACGTGTCTACAACAATGCTGCAAACTTCAGACAACCGAAATATCACGTTTTTACAACATTTGGGCACGTAATAGCAACATATTTACGACCTGATTTTTACCAAGGCACAACGTTTTGGCAACTTAATGGGCACGTAACAGATACGTCTTTACAACCCTGTAGGAACCCGACCACGACTTAACTGCCACATTACTGCAACGTTGGCGAGGACGTTTGTGCAACTTGTGGGTACGTCAATACAACTATGCAGCTTCCTAAATGCAACGTATATGACACTGCATTGCAACACATTTGGAACGTAGTAGCTAAATGTAGTTGTAGATACGCGTATGCAACCTCTTTGGGACGTGATTACAACTTGATGAGCACGATATTGAAACCTATTTGCAACCCTTTGGGCACGTCTATGCAACTTTAATGTAACATTCCAGTGACGTTACTGCAACGTCGTGAGTACAATACTACAACATTGGAGGGACGTTTTAGCAACTAATTTGGTACGGTACTGAAACATTTGGGGAACGTTACTGCAACTTGTACTGCAACCATTTAGACACTGTACCGCAACCATTGTTGACAACATTCCTGCAACTTTGAGGGCACCACTTATTTGATGCTTAACGGCTGCACTTATGCACATTTTTACATCAGTCCTACCACATTAAACATACCTGTCGACGAATGACAACAAAACAACTGAATCAGAATAACTTTTTTTTTCTACTTTTATTACAAAGTATGTACTCCATGATCTTGATGGATCTAAACTTTGACAGTCGATACCATTACAAAATGAAACTGGGTAACTAAATTTTAGTGATGTGATGTTATTTGTGATCGTGATATTTTGGTGGAATTTTTCAGGTTCCCCGAAAATATTTGGTTTGCAATCTTTTGTGAAAGTTATGAACTGGGGGCAAAATACGCACAGAAAATAACGGAAAAGCATTCAGCAACGGCCTGATTGTTTTCTTTTTTGTGATACGTACAAAGTGAACTAGATTCATGTGTGGACCTGTGTGTTAAAGTGCCAAAATAACTTATTTTACAAAGGCTGAGGATATCAATTATGTGAGAAAAACTACGGACAGTATAGTTTTCCAACAGAGGATGCAGTGCTGTCATTCATTCATTGTCCGCGTCATCTCGGACAGGATTCTGGACAAAAGAAGAGAGAAAAATCACAATAAATATCTTCTCTTGCATACAACAGACATTGATAGATAACACTGACAACTGTTTTTGATCAATTGTTCATGAAACGGTCAGCATAATGTCTATTAGTATTTTTGCATGTCATTTCAACCCTTTCCGATAAATTCTCACAAGTATATATTCAGGTTTGCAGATTCATAACTTCAGTAGGATGAGTAAATATCTGAACAAGCTGCTATTTTATACTCCATTCAATATTTCACGCCAAAACACTGTTCCGTAATTACAGTAGAATATACTGACCCATACCTTCTGTGCCGCGGCACGAAGCATTTGAAGAAGTCGAGGGGACCGAGGAGGCTGGAGTTGTGTCGTGGGACATAGTCACTGCATCCATGTATATTTAAAAAGGTGACAAAGGTAGTGAAGAAATGTGAGTGACTTTTTATATATTTTGATAAACTTCGCTTAACTCTGAGCGATTTGCCCGTAATACGTATCGGGACACTAAAATTTAGCGACGGCACTTGAACATAGACCACAAGTTATAGCAAAAGAAACAATACATGTAATAGGGAGGAAAATTAAAGGCTCTACCTTGGTTGAGAATATCGATGTCTACATCTGGGGGATTTGGTAGGGGCTTCGGGGTTGGTTGCTTCTTCAATGGTGCAATATCTGAAAATATTACAAAGGCGATCAACATTAGGCATAAAAGACAATTTTCCAATATACGCAGCGTGCGTGACGTGTTGACTTCATAAGACAGTCATTGCTCTCAAACAAGGTTGATGTGTTCAGGAATTTTACTTACAATCTTTGCTGTCACTCCCCACCTCTGACGAGGAAAACGACTGATATCTAGTATGTCGCTTTCGTCGACGGGGCTCATCATCGCTGTCCACCGATTCGACAGTTGACGTATCTTCTGCGATTTTGCATTATGGAGTGCCTTTTCATATGAATCTGTAAAATAATTTGCAACACATTACACAGTGTTGCAAATGGCATCATAAAAATGTACATCAGACAAAATGTACATGAAATGTAAACCGAATGCTCAATTCATTGCGTGTTCAACTTTACTTATGCTTGGATTCGAGCACACTTCACTCACCCGTATAAATTTAGTGAAAGAGAATGGCTGCATACCTAATTGCCCCCATTTCACTGTGTAATTGTTTGATCATGATAAAACACAATTCCTCTTTACTTTGGATTGAATTATAATTTTGCAAAAGGGGCATTTACCAGTATAACTGAACACCCGTATCTCGTAGCTGCTCACTTTTCTTCATCTGGGGTCTGTGGAATCCCTTTACGAACCCTTGTTGAGACATTCTTTTTGGGCCAGAAACCTCAATGGTTCCTTGATTAAAAAAAAACCATCACCATCGCATAAATGTGATACATCAGGCCTGTAGATTGTAAAGAAAACATGAACAGAGTCTATCTGTGACAATAATTTAAAAAATTGCTGTGCATCTGCGAATCGTCTATTTTAAATCAATTGAAACGTAATGCAGTAATTGCTAATGCACTAAAACTTATTAAGGACACAATGTGTAGCTACTGGCCCCTTGTTTTTCCTTATCCAAGATTTATGGAC